GGGCTGGGTCTGGCCGGGGAGACCCTCAGCCATTGTGACGCGCCAGGACGAGGAGAGGGCCAGGATGAATTAGTGCTCGGCCAGGCTGACTTTCGGTTTGTCCCCCCCCCCTTCCCGCCCTCCCTTCACCCCACCCTGTCTCGTCCGACAAAACGCCCATTCGGGTAGTGCAGGGCTGGGTGTGCCAGGGTAAAGGGCAGAAGGGGAGGGGGGGGGGAGGCCTGTCCTGTTTGGCGGAATCCGATTGTGCGAGCGCCTGCCTGCTCGGACGGCCCGGACCTGGGGCGGGCGGGGCGCAGAGCGGGTCGGACGGCGAGCTGCCCTCCTCCTGCCTCACCCCATCAACCTCTACGACAATCTTTTCTTTCGCAGAGTTGGCGCTATTGCCGAATGGCTTATATCGCAGAAGCCTCTGCACGCACACATGTGATCCCTCCCCAGTCAGTAGTAGTTGTCTGCGGCAATCTTTTGTTCCGCTGTCCGTATGTAGTTGGGAGAACTGAAAATACATGCAGTTGCAGCTGCAGAACTTGACCAACGGATCGTCGTCACTTCAAGTTGACGCACTTGCGACTACTCAAGTCGAGGCTCAACTTCATTGTGGGGGCTCTTCTGACAAGAAGTTTTGAAGTTGCGCGAGTGTCGAACTTTTCAGTTATGCAATTACAACAATACTTACAACTGCAACAGAACTAAAGTTTGCAAACTTGCAGAAACTGTTCTCAGCTCTATACACAAAGATTTGAAGAGCTGCTCGCCGCCTCGCTGTCCATGCGATCCGCGGCATTGGGGAACTTGAACGTGAGAGCCGCGGCCAGCGATCTACCTACAGCGAGCGCGACACGAGTAGGATAAAGGGCTCGTGCGCGGGGTGGGGCGGGGCGCGGGGCTATCCGGCCCAGTGTCGCCCGTTCCCCCAACTCTGCTGCAGTCCACATTTCCATCCCCCAGCGCCACGCCCCACCCTGCTGGCCTGACCACGCCGTTCTCTCAAAGGATTAAGAGGTACTCCGCTCGGCGCGACCCGGGCGCGACGGACGGGGCCAACTGGCTTTCGAGGGGATGGACAGCGAGGTCGGGCCTGGCGCAGCAGCAGGGCCGGACCATAGCAGCAGCCGAGGCCCCGAGCGAGGTCGACTTACTCTGGGCCTCGGGGGTGGCTGCCTAAACCGTGGAAGTGGAAGCGGTGGTGGCAAAGGGAGTCAGGCGCCTCACCAAGGCAGCGGGCATTATACAATTAGTCTCCTGCCTCGCTTCCGGCCATCCGGTGCCGTAGAATGGATAATATATGAAATCTGCGTTATTTTGTTTTGGACGCGCGTATAAACTGTGACGCCCAAAACTGTCGGCGTGTGGTTTTCGTTTTCGTTTACTTTTTTTAGATTTGAATTCTGTGTATCCTGATATTGACTGGCGTCCCGCGTCAAACCACGCACCAGCAGCCAGCGCTTTTCGCCTGAACTGGACGGCAACGTGAATGCGCGGTGATTACGTCTATGTTCCTCGCTTGTCAGTGTGATGCGCCCGTGTTTTCATCCGACGAGTTTTAATCTCCGATGTGTGTGTGTGTATGTATGTGTGTGAGTGTGATCGGAAAATATCGGATAAATACATGAAAAATTTTCAGTAAAAGTTGAAAAAAAAAACTTGCCAGGAAAAATTCTTGAACATTTTTACCACTACACTTTACCATAAAATTAAAATACCTATGTGTGTTTATGCCACGCAGGAGCGCTTCCGCGTGGAGGCGGACGTGGCGGTGAACCGCGCCAACATGCTGACCCGCCTGTGGAAGTACGCGGGCCCGGCCGTCATGCACTCCGAGTACCTGCTGCACGCCCTCGTGCTCGCCATGGTCGAGTTCGACGACGACATCTTCGCGGCGGGCAACTGCTACGACGCCCACCAGTACAAGGACTACTGGCTCTTCTGCCCGTTCGCCTACCGCCTGCCCGAGGGCCCCATCCTGGTCAAGGACCTCGCCGTCGAGTACAAGTACCTGGAGAACACGTCCGAGTGGTTCTACATGGCGAGGAAGAACGCGGAGCGGGTCATCCACAACTACAACCAGATCGCGCACGGTGAGTGATCAACGGGGAAAAGGGGTGGGGGGTGGTCCCGTCGCATCCGATTGAAAATGAAACAAATAAACTCTGCCACGCGGAACGAGAAAACGATGGAAGGTCGCCAAGTCGAGCGCGGGTGCGAGGAAGCGGGACGGGGCCGGGCTGCTGCTGGCGTCCTCCGTGACTAATGTATTTCTGGCGAGCGAATCCCCCTCCTCCCCCTGGCCGCGCCCCTGCCTCTTCGGAGACGGGCGGCCTACGGCGGCCTACGGGGACTCCTGTTGTGCCCCTGCCATCACACCTGGTCTGGCACCCCACCCCGCCCCACCCCGCCCCACCCCGCCCTCTCCACCGAACACCCTCTTGGCCCCGTCCTGCCGACCGCCGCGCCGCCCCCGCCCCCCCTTTTAACGGAGGAAAGCTTTAACGTTTCGGGTTCTCGAAGTGGAATCATCCCGTCCGTCCAGCAGCAGCGTCACGGTCCGCTGAGTGACAACACTCGCGGAAGAGCAGGGGGACGCGGCGGCCCTGATCCCGAGAGAGGCGAGCCCGAGGAGCCCGAGGGCGGGCCCATGAAGTGGCACCAGCGGCCCCACGGCTGTTTGTTTGTGCCGCGCGTTCTGATTGGCTCGGCTCGGTTCGGCTCGGCTCGGCTCGGCTCGGCTCGGCTCGGCCCGAAGCGATAGGGTGACGCACCCAAATGTGCGCAATGAGATGATCAACGCCATGATCCAGCTTGGGGCGTCCCAGTGGGCGGCCGCACACCCGGTCTGTTGTATATATCAATATCCCGTGGTGACGTGCCGGTCCAAGAGACAATCACACTGTATAACTGATTTATCGGAGAGTATAGATATGTAAACTCGATGAGGAGATTCGGTCCCGGTGTGTACCAATAACTCAGTGTGCAGGTCCAGGAAAATCTGTGCGCGTGCTGTGTTGCGTATTCTTTTTCACTTATTTATGAACAAAATTCTTCATAGTTGCACATAGCTCAACAAATTTGTTTAAAATTACGTATTAAACTAATGCACAACAAAGCACGCACACAGATTTTCATAAGCTTGTGCTTAAAAAAGTTCATAAGATTTTAGTGTGTATGCTTTATTTTTTTCCCCTCTGTGCGGTATTCTTCGTTAAAGGCGAAACAGAAATATCGATGGCATTTCTTGGAAATGACAAAGGGTCGGGGGCAGGAAGGCGCGCGCGCCGCCGCCGCCGCCACCGGCCGCGCTGGCGACGAACGCGTTCTAAAAGGCGAAGAGCCCCTG